TTGATTGATTGATTGATTGATTGATTGATTGATTGATTGATTGATTGATTGATTGATTGATTGATTGATTGATTGATTGATTGATTGATTGATTGATTGATTGATTGATTGATTGATTGATTGATTGATTGATTGATTGATTGATTGATTGATTGATTGATTGATTGATTGATTGATTGATTGATTGATTGATTGATTGATTGATTGATTGATTGATTGATTGATTGATTGATTGATTGATTGATTGATTGATTGATTGATTGATTGATTGATTGATTGATTGATTGATTAATTGATTGATTGATCGATTTAAGGATGTCTGAGTCCGAGTACAAGTTAACGAAGAAGGTCGTTAAAAGGTGGAGAGCGAATTTTTGTGTATTCCTAATTTTATTAATTTTATACCATTTAAATTATTAAATGGAACAAATAATTGAATAAATATTTATTTTCATGATTTAAATATTAAAATTTATATATATATATATATATATATATATATATATATATATATATATATATATATATATATGTTTATGTATGTATTTATTATTTACTTATTGTCCATCAATCACTTAATCAATCAATCAATTAAGCAAGCAATCAAGCAAGCAATCTATCAACACATTCAATTAATCATTCATTCATTTTTTTATTTGAATGGACCAATCAGAAACGTGGATTACGTACCCAATGATCAGGCTGATAACTTCGACATCGTCGGTAGCCAGAGGTACCAAATATACAGAGGCCTCAGTCCCGATACCTCCAATAGACTTGAGGTGGGAGGAAAACTGAATGATGGATAGATGGATAAACGAATGAATGAATGTGAAAGAGTGAATGAATGAAGAAATAAATTAGTGAATGAATGAATGGATGCATGATTGAATGAGTGAACTTTTGTCCAGTTAGACAGATGAGACAAAAACTGAATCAATTAATAAACTTATGCGTACGAATAAATGAATATGTTGTAAGAGAAAAGGATGAAAAGAGAGGGAGATGGAGATAGAGAAAGAGAGAGAGAGAAATTGATTGATTGAGTGAATATGTTGAAAAAGTAAGAGAAAAAGAAGTAGAAGGACAGGGAGAGCAAGAGGAAGGGAGAGAGAAAAAGAGAAATAAAGTCAAAAAATGAATAAAAAACGAAATAGTTTTGCCAGACCTTTAATAAAACCATAAAAAAGCAAGTAAACTACACTCTTTCTTGATTTTATTATTAAAGAAATTACCTAAAATTGAATAAATTTTTTTCAAACAGTTGAAAATAAAATCCTTGGAAGAAGCATTGGAGGCTGAGAAACAAGCCAGACTCCAGGTGGCCACCAATACCAATTATCGCCACCATCATCAAAATTTCGTTTACGTTACGTCTTAGTGACCGAGTTCGAACGCAATAAGATCTCCACCTATCACATGCAACGTGTGTGCGTGTGCGTGCGTGTGTGTGTGTGTGTGTGCGTGTGTACATCTACGTACTCTATGTGTTAGTTTTGGCTGATTCCTCTGAGAGGAATTCTGAAGAGAGAATTGTAAAATATAGCATTATTCAATCACTTAGTTACTTAATTAATTACTTACATAGTTAATTAATTAATTACTTAGTTATTTAATTAATTACTTAGTTATTTAATTAATTACTTGAAAAGTTGTCGGTACAATTTTTTTCCTGAAGGCTGAGCAAGAGGTGAAATACCTAACTGATGAGATGCAGCTTCAAAATGAACAATATGATGAGATGCAGAGGAACAGCTCCGTCCATGTCGGTTTTTATCTATATTATTATTATTATTATTAGTAGTAGTAGTAGTAGAAGTAGTAGTAGTAGTAGTAGTAGTAAAAGTTGTCGTCGTCGTTGTAGTAGTAGTTTTCTCTTCTAACCACCTGTTGAAATGTTGTTGAAATGTCTTTTTGATAACTGAAATTGAAACACAAAATACAAAATAGAGTAAAGAAATGCAGATTGTTTTTGCAAAAAATTACCGTTAAACGTTCGTAATAACAAAACCTCTCACAAAACCATCAATTCAGTTTGATCTACTGCGGACCAAAGACCAAGAATTGCTGAGGCTGAAACAGGAATTGGACGCCATGTTGGATTCGAACGAGTCGCTGGAAGTAACGTACAAGAAGAAGATGAACGAAGCGCTGAACTCCATGTCGGAGCAGTGGGAGCAAGCCAACAGGCAGAAGAATAAGTATGACCTTTGACCTAAATGATTTTCTGTCACTTTTTGTTTATTAAAATTTTCTATTTCTACATACGTTAATAAATACGTTCATTGGATTTTTGAGGTTATTTTGACATTCATATCTGTTGTGTGTCATCTTTTGTGCTTGTTTACCTGTTAGTTCATTTCATATTATGCATATCTATAGTCTTTTTTATTTAAAGTTGTATGTAGCTGGCTGAACATGATTGCTGAAACGTGTGGCGCGCCAGAGTTCGTTGCTGATACGCAAACTGGGGCAAATTTTATCAGGCAGATTAAAAGTAGTTCTGTGTACTGTTCGTAAAAATTTTACCTTTGAATTTCTCTGTTCTGCCTGGTGTTCACGCCATTGTTTGAAACTTCAGGTGTTTGCTTTCAAACTGGCAAAGTTTTTTTTAGTTTTTTTTTTACTTTCTTTTGAAGTTCTTTTTCTACCTTGTTCAAAATGCGCACTCTCGATTCTTCTATGTATAGTATATACTAAGTATAATATATCTAAGATACATTTTATCTTATGTTTTGGATTAAAATGTACTTGTTTCAGTGCACAAATGCTTGTTCGAACACCACACACCCAAACACACACAGACACATCGATTCAAATGCGCTATTAAATGCACACACACACATACACACACGAAAAGACAGTCAATAGCGCACATACATACACACATACAAACACACATACACAAACAAACAAACGAACGAACGAACACACACAAATGATCTTGCACCACTGATGAAGGTGTGAGTCTGATAAAAGAAATTTGCTCGCGGAGATCGGCGAGTTGAACAACTCAATTGAACTTGTAAAATCTGCTAAGGTTGTTTCATACATATTTTATTTTCTTGCATGAATAGTTTTATTTTTTTTTAAATATATTTTCTTCATTTTTTTAAAGAGTGATTTTTTTGCTAGTTAAAACTTTAAACGAATAAAAAGATTCCATATCTATGATCTGTATGGACACAAACAATACTATATAACATCATTAAATCAAAGTTGTTGAGTGCACCAATCCTTTTGCCATTTGTTATCACACGTTGCAGGGCCAAGTTGAAGCCAGGTTGGCAAATTTCGAAACAGAAAACCGCCGCTTAAAGTTAGAAAACGACGAAAAGGCCAAACAGCTTCAAGAACTTGCAGCTCTTAAATCGAAACTGATGCACGATAACGGAGAAATGCAATCGAAAGTGAAACAACTGGAATCTGCCAATGATAATTTCATGAGAGATAGATCGAAGTTTGTGAGAGAGATGGAAAGTTTGCAGAGTTCGCTGGAAGAAGCGGAATCTGTGAGGATGAGTTTTGCGGTGTTTCGTGATGGTGATTATTGATCGATGGATAACAGTTATTATGGCGATGTTGAAACTGTAAAATTATGGTCGGTGTTGTAATGTTTGTCATACTTGACACAGTATTTTAAAACGCTGTGTACTTCTTTGTTGGCGTTGTCGATACAAATATTTAAACATTTTTGTTTTGTATTTTTGTTGAAATAATAATTTAAAAAAACTTTCATTCAAACAACCTACTCGATTAACTTGCAATGAATCCAACGAATGCCGCAGTTTCGACCACAGATGTTGTTGAACGTGAACAACTTGCAACTGGAGTTGGACAACTGCAGATCACTTCTCGAAGACGAACAACAATCCAAACAGCTACTCCTCACTCAAATTCAAAAACTTCAGTCTGAAGTAAATTCACTGAAAGCCAAATTTGAAAGCGATCTGGCTCTAAGTCTCGAAGAAATAGAAACGCAAAAGTTTGTGTTTTTGTGAATCATGTTTCGTTTTAGGAGTTTTACGCGTTTTATTTTTCAACATTTACAAATATTTTAAATCTTATTAAATCTAACACGTAAACTACCAAAAGGAAAAAACTACTTACACGAATAACCGAGGCCGAGAACGAACTGTCGGTCCAGCACAAGCGAAGTGCCAAACTGGAGAAGGATAACTCGAAACTTTTGTTTGAAATGAAGGAACTGCAAGAGGAAATTGAAAGGGTCAGTGTGGTTGTAGTAGTAGAAGTAGAAGTAGAAGTAGAAGTAGTAGTATTACTAGTAGTAGCAGCAGTAACAGTAGTAGTAGCAGTAGCACCAATAACTCAATAATAATAATATTAGTCAATGACGACTATAGTAGTAGTAGTAAGGTGTATCACCGTTGTCGCAACTCCAGTACAAGAATCAGTGCGCGGACCTGAGCAAGCAGTTGAAGCAGGTAGAGACGGAGAAAGCTGAACTCCGCCATCAGTTCGAAGAGGTTCTCGTGGTTTCTGGAAATTTCGAGAGCAGCCAGAATAAGCTGAACAATGAACTGAATAAGTTGAAGACTCAACACGCCGGCCTCAGTGACAGGAGCGAGACTCTGGCCAGGGAGTTGAAGATATCTGACGGTATTGCAAATGTTTCAATGTCTTCACCTTTTATTATTTCCATTGTTTTTGTATCAGTAGTTATCTTTTTAATGTTGTTTTTGTTTTTATTTTAAAGGTTCACAAAAATTTTTTTTCATATAGAAAACAAAGTCCTCGTTGTTATTATTAATAGTAAGAGTCCGTCTTGTTATTGATTCATGGAAACATCTGTTTAGTTCTGAGTGAAAAAGCAACGAGCTATCAAAAATTTAATAGAAATATCTGCATATCGTTGATTGAATGAAAACATCGTCATAGATTAAAGTAACTAACCAACGAACGAAACGACAGAGAGGTACAAAGAACAGAAGGAGCTGAACGAGGAATTGAAAATACAAATTCAAAACGTCATGAACCAGAAGGCACAAATTGAAAAAGAGGTGATCAGTCAGAACAAAACCCTCGTCGACCTTCAAAGATCACTGGTTGAAGTTCAGAGGCAATTTGATGCTGCCACCTCAGAGGTCAAACAGGTCAAGGACGATTGCAAGAATGAGCTGAAAACAAAAGATGATGAGATGGAGAGGCTCAGGTTTGTTTTTCTTCTGGTCATTGTGACAACGTTTTTTTCGCTGCTTTTTTAACTTCATGATTTTATTTGTGAAAATAATAACTACAGTGAAAGAATGCAAAATGCTGAAAACTTCATGCGACGCAAACATTTGCAATTAGTTGAAATTTTTACCTACGCTAGGAAACACAAAATATAATACATTTATCAATACATTATATTTATTGATTGATATACAAGTAGATATTTGTACATAATCCAATGCCGAACGTCAGGAAAGCCTTGCAGAAAGCTTCAGACGACCACAACCTCCAGAAACTTGACTTGGAAGTCAAACACAAGAACGAAATCAACAGAGCCAAAAAATTATTCGAGACAGAACTGATGCAGATGAGGACGGATTCTGAGATGCACATGAAGAACTATAACGAGGTCCTCAAGTCCAACAAGCAACTTCTCAACAGAACCAAGGTTCTTGCGTCATTGTTATGTTTATGCCTACTAATGACGTCATCCTACGTTTATTAATGTTTGTCAAGTAATTTTAACGTTTTAAAAAAATTTGTTACTTAGTAAATTGCAATTATAATAATTTTTACAATTTAATAAATACAATTACCATTGTTTTTCAAACATATTTTCCTTCAATAAAGAGTTTACCTTCCTATTTTTTTAACAAATTAAAACAACAAAACAGGATTTCGAAGCGGAAATTTTGAACCTGGATCGAATGAGGGAAGACCTGAAAAATCAGCTGAACAGTTGTGAGAGGAAGAGGAACCAACTGCAGATGGAGAAAGAAGATGTCAGCTCCAGATTAGATGCGGTCAGTTTTTAGTCTTTTTTTCATTAATATTCATCTCTTTGAAAATCTCAATTGATATTACTATTAACAGTAATTTCAATACCATTACTACAACTACTTCTATTATTACTTCTACTTGCTGATTCTCTTACTACTATTACTATTTTAGCTACTGCTGCATGTACTTTTGCTTGTACTGCTACTACTACTACTGCTACTTTTACTATTAGTACTATTAATAATAAGAGTACTATATAATAGTACTCTTATTATTGCTGCTACTTATTATTTTTATTATATTTAAAGTTATATGTTTAATATGAAACAATAAATTAAAATTTCATGGTAGGCTGAAAAAACTCGAAAAAATACCGAACTGACGGTTAAGGATTTGAACCAGACCGTGAACGAGCTGTCACTTAGCCTCACATCGGCCAACAATGAGGTCAAACGATTGAACTCTGACCTCATTTCTATGCAAGGTGTTCTGGAAGATTCTCATGTCGTTAGAAGGTGGGTTGGTGATGCAAATGGCGATATGAGTGGAGGACTTAGTTATTATTGTCAAAATAATATAAACATTGAGAAAAAATACGTGCAAACTACAAATTAATAGTCAACTGACCCTGACATTCAAATTTTTTAGAAACCTTGAAGAAACTACTGAACGATTTCGATTGGACGCTGATCAACTGAGGGAATCCCTGGAATACCACAATGACGTCATCAGACAGAAAGATGATGTCATCCAAAAACTGGAAAAAGATTTGAAGATAACAAGAGAGTTGTTGGATGAGATGGAACAGAAAACATTAAGAGAGGGAAGGAAATTGTTTGCGAAAGCACAAGCCAAGGTAGGTTGAACTGTTGTACAAGTGTTGTTTTGTTGTAATGATTCATTATATAACCACAGATATACCATTACAAAATTACGTGTACAACAAAAACGAGTCTAACACAAACATCCAAAACTACAATTTATACTCAGCACAGCAATAAACAATAAAATAGCTGAGCAAACACCAAAGTTAAAAAACAAAGTACTAACACATCAGCAAAAAACTTCAACCACACAGAGCAAAAGTTTAGAACTGGAGTTAGAAGCTGAGCAGAAAAAGTTAAAAGAACTCCATTCTGAAAATCGTCGTCTCCAGAAATCCATCAATGAACTGGCCGACCTGAAAGAGAGCTTCGAAAGAGAAACACATGAAAAATCCAGATTGCTCGACAGTGCACATAATTTAATTGCCAGGCTGAAGAAACAGTTGGCTGAGGCGGTTGGTCCTCTTTTTGCTTTTATGATAAACAATACGATAGGTAATAGTTATTTATTTACACATTTATTTATCATAATGAAAGATACCAGGCTGATTGAGAAGTCTCTGTGGAAAAGATTGTTATAAATTTGTCTCCACGCATTAGTCGTCCTGCTTACCGTACCTCATATAGGCCTACCTTATTCTTAATTTGCGTTTATAAATACTTATTGTATGGTAAGGATAATTTTGATTTGCAACTGAATGAACAAACAAACAAATAAACAAAAAAACAACAAACAATACAGGAACAAGTGGTGACGATTGTAACAGGCAAGTACAAGAAACTTCAACAACGGCTCAACCAGGAGGAAAGTGATAGGCAAGAATTGAGCACACCGAACAACCTTCAAAGTGTCATCTTAGAAAGGCACATCTCTTCTGCCGGAAGCGGTGGCGGACAACATGCCACCGGTTCCCATCTTCCGTCTGTTAATCAACTAACTGCTAGCAGCCATCATATTCCCGGTAGCCATCTTGCATCAGGCGGCCATCTTGTTTCCGGCAGTCATCTTGCATCTATCGGTCATTTAAAACCTTCTGTCGGTCACGTTGGTTCAAGTGGGTTGTACACGGTGGGAAGTAGAAAGTCCATTCCGATAGGAGACATGGTCAACCAGAGAATCTCTACCGCCAGGTCTGTAGTCCAATCCATCATCAGCAACAACAGCCTGAATTACGAGTGACATCTTAAGTTATGACGCTGATTGACTTACTAGTTGACTGATTGGTTGGTCGTTGATTGGTTGGTCGGCTAGTCGTTCACTGATTGGTTGGCAGTTTGGGTAGTGGCCATTACGATTTGAACTCTTTTGCAGTGGTTTCCATGGTAACTATAAAGTGGCTATTACAAGGAGGTTGAGAAAATGCTGCTTAAAAGGGGATAAGCTTTTTAGTGCTGTGTATCATCTGCGTGTGTGCGTGTGTGCGTGCGTGTTTAAACGTGTGAAGATGCATTCACTTTGTTCTCTCATTATTTCACTAGTTTCTCTCCACTAAAATATTTACGCCTCTTAGAGTGTTTATAGCGTGAGTTTGTGCCTTTGTATGTGTGTGTGTATGTGTCTATGTGTCTATGTGTATATGTCTGTGTGCCTAATTTCATTTTTTGAACTTTAGATTATTTTGCCAGAAATTTTTTCTCTTTGATTTTTTTTTAATTTTTGTCAAATTTTTCTTTTGTAGAATAATGTAACTACATAATATTAATAAATTATATTATTTTCTACAACAACAACAACAACAACAATAGTAATAATAATAATAATAATAACAAAATATTAATAATAACAAAATATTAATAATAACAATAAAGGCGCAGTGATGTTCATTTTATTCCATAATTTACACAATAATAATAATAATAGTGTTAATTTACGTTAAAATTACTAACAAAATAACAACAATAATAATAACATTAATAGTAATGGTAAAAATAATTTAATTTTCTTTATAGTAGTTTTTGTAGAGCCGAATTAGCGCGCGAGTAGTGACATTAAAACGTCATCATCACAGCACCATTATCATCATCATCATTGCCATAAAAATGATAATGATGATGATGGCAATACATCATCATTATGAGGAGGAAGATGAGGATGATGATGATACATCATTATCATAACCATAACGATGATGATGATGATGATAAAAAACAAAAATATACGGTGTTTTTTTCTTTTGTTTTTTTAAATTGAAAACAAAACGTGACTTAATACAATTGATGATGACTCGATAATGATGATGATGGTGGTGGTGATGATGATGACTCGATGATGATGATGACGACGAAAATGATTTATTATGATGATAACGATTACACACACACACTCTCTCACACACGTACTATTAGAAGTGATGGGCCGGGATCGCTTTGCTTTAACCGTCTGGAGTTATCATCTGATATAATTTTTCATCCTATAAACTAATAGAAACTTTTTTTATGATACAAATTTGTCTCGTAACTCTTTCATAGAAACATTTTTTCGATACGTTATGAAAATAATAATTTTTTAAAACAGAGGAACAAATAAACATAATAAACAAATAGATAAACAAACAAATGAATGAATGAATGAATGAATGAATGAACGAATGAACAAACGAATGAATGAACAAACACACGAGCGAACGAATAAATGAATGAATAGATAATTACGATTTTATTATATTAAAATATTTATAACGTAATGACGTTTTGTGCGGTGTAAATTGATGAGATGTTTTATTCGAAGCAGCGAGACGTGATGTCATTTTTTGTCTTGTATCGAATTAACAGTATTAGACAGTGTATGAATATTTATGTGTCTATAAAAAATTTCATTTACAAGCGGCCAATCAGACATCATCTTCGCCACCGTCTGAACCGCCGACCGCCACAAAACCGTCACCATCGGTACTACTATTACTACTACCGCTGTTTATCATATCTTTGTGGAAGATAACGAGATACATAAACCAGTATAGAAAACTAAATATAGAAAACATAGACGGAAAAATGAATCTCGATTTCATGTCTATGTTGCTCGCTATTTGATCGTTGGTGTTCACGTGTGGTTTGTTGTTTGCTTTTGTCAACTGTGGTGTCAGTGTTGCGGTTGTAGCTGCTACTACTGCTGCTGCTGATGTGGTCGGCGCTGCTGATGACAATGAAGAAATGGATAGTGATGACAATGATGAAGTTGAAATTAATGACGACGGCGTTTTCTCAACTAACGATGATGACTTCTTCGCATATGTTGATGTTGTTAGCAATGTTACTGAAGCTCTTGTATTTGTTGTTGTTGATGTTGTTGTTGTTGATGTTGTTGTTGATGTTGTTGTTGATGTTGTTGTTGTCGTATCTAAAACTGTTGATATTTTTCTTGATGATGTTATTGTTGATGTTGTTGTTAATGTTATAGATGTTGTTTGTAAAATTGTTGTTGATAGTGTTGATGAAGTTATGAGATTTGTTGTTGTTTTTGAAATTTCCACGCGAGTTTTACCCGACAAAACAACATCATTAGCGAGCTCTGCCTCCGAGAATTTCATCCCTGCAATCTTCATCTCAACAATTTTTGCGCATGACGTGACTGACCCATCGTCATCTTCATCGTCAAGTTTCATTTGGGTTCTTCCTATTTTGTTGCTCGTATCAGGATTGAAGTTATTAATTCTAACATTACTTTTGTTAACACTGTTACTTTTGCTACTAGTATTATTATTATTGTTATTATTAGTATTAATAATAGTAGTAGTAGAAGGAGCGGGTTTAGTAGCAGCTATAGTAGTTGCATCTTTAGTAATAGTTGTAGTGATAGTAGTAGTAGTAGTAGTAATGGTTGTAGTAGTTGTAGTAGTAATAGCAGAAGTAGTAGTAGAAGTAGTAGTTGTAGTGCTTTTGGTTGACAACTCCTTAGTGCTCCATTTAACGAGTATACATTTACTGCGGGGAGTTGCGGAGATAGAATTACTGCCAGGCCAGTTCTGCTTACTTTCTTTCTTATTTCTTTTCTTCACGTAATTTCTGACGTCATCGTCGACGTCATTAAAGTATTTCCTCTTGTATACGTCATCTTCGTTGTAATCTGTGATTGGTTTTAGTAGAATTGTTTTTGTTGATATTTTGTTGTTGTTGTCGCTGCTGATGGTGGTGGTGGTGTTGCTGGTGTTTTTGTTGTTGTTAGTGTCATCGCTAATAATTGTGATGTCGTAATTGTTGTTATTGACGTTGGTTTCGTTAATGTTGTTGATGTTTTTTGAACTGTTATCTCTGTTGCTGTTTAAAACAAAAATGTTGTTGTTATTATTGATGTTGTTGATGTTGTTGTTGTGATTATTGCAGTCGTAATTAAAGTAGTTGTTGCTGATGTGAGCTGATTCAAATCCAAAATTATCATTGAAAAGGTTGTCATTGCCGTGTGTGATGTCATTATTATTACTATTATTATCATTATTGTTGTTGTTATTATTATTATAGTTGTTGTTGTTGTGGCCCGTGTAGTCGCTAACGTTGATGCCGTAAAAACGACAGCTTCTCTTGAGAATTTTATTTCGGTTAAAATATCTGAAAAATTTATTCAGCCCAATTTTCTTGTTAACGCCATTATTATTATTATTATTATTACCATCAATATTCCCAAATAAGTAGAAAATTTTTGAACTATCCGAATTTTCCCTGTTGGTTCGATAACTCGACCCCCTCCTATCTGTCGGATCGGGTCGGTATCGGTTACCGAAAGTAGTAACATTCCCATAGTTTTCGTAATTATCATCATTTAGACTATGCTTACTATCCATGACAATATCATCGTCATTGTTATAAGTGTGGCTGACATCATCATCATCTTCGTTCTCATCATCTTCCTTTTCATCATTATTATTCCTAAAATGCTTTTTTCTTTTTTGGCTATAAGTGAACTTCCTAGAGATATCCAAACTATTTTCGCTTAGATAGCAATCACTACTATCATTATCTTTATCGTCGTCATCATCATCATCACCATCGTTATCAACATCATCATCATCGTTATCTTCATCATTACCGTCATAATCGGCTTTCGATTTTGCGACTATTTGCGGTTTGCTGGACTGTCGGTTCCAGATACCGACCGGATAATTGGATACGTAACTGACGATGGCGTACTCAACTATGGAGGCGAATATGAAGAGGAAACAGGTTATCGTGTACAAGTCGATGCTCTTTAAGTAGCTGGGTGGTGACAATGGTGAGTAAAATGAGTGAAATTTTTGTGGTGATGAACAAGATGATGATGTGACCTGTTTAAACACAAAAATCATTATATTTTTAAACAATAATCAAGTTGTTATGTATTTAAGCCAGTGATAAAAAATTGAACTTTGTTTGTCAATAAATATTATAGTAAAAGTTTTAGTTATTTCATTCAATATTTTGTTTATTCATTCGTTAATTCATTCACTCATTTATTCGTTCTGCCATTCATTCATTTTCTAACTTATTAAAAAATTACACTTTTCCCATCTACCTATCCACTAATTGGACCTCACCTAATTTTCGGAAGAGAGGCATTTGAAGCAGACATGAGTGTGGTTATGGTCAGTACGGTGGTAATCCCTAGGGCTATCCTGGCTGGTCCCGCGTCCTTGGGCAGCCAGAAACTGAGCCAGGAGGAGACGACGATGAGCGTCGAAGGCATGTAGGTGTGGATGATGTAGTAGATGAGGTTGCGTTTCAGGTAGAAGAGGCAGGAGAGGCTTGAGAAGAGACCTTGTGCGTGTGGTTGTGTGTGCGGTTTTGTGTGTGTGTGTGTGTAATTGTTTGCGCAGTTTTGCTTCTACTTTTACACACATTCAAGTAAAAAGGCTGATCTCTTTGTAATCAAACCCGGCCACTGCATTAACATTGTCAGGCACTTTACCGTTAAACCACCGTTTTGATACATATTCACTTTTGAGTGAAAACAGCTAAACGTAGTTTATTAATGTTATTGTAAGAATATGGTGTTATATTAAAAAAATTTTGCCGAATATTTTATTTATTTTATAGCGTGTTGAAATCATTATGAACGACATTATCATGATCATCAATATCATTGCCATTACGTCATTGTTCAGTCATCTTCATAACTGACCAGTGCTAAGAATGGTAGTCTTATTGATGACCTTTATACCAATGACCTTGGCCTCGATCATCTGGCAGTTGTTATTGGTGGTCACCGATTGGTCGGCCCTGCCCAGCCAATTGTAGGCTATGTGACGTGTCGAATACGCGTCTGATAATATTAGGATAATGATTGTATTGTGGTGATGGTGAAGGTGATGATGATTGTAGGATGATGATTGTGACGGTAATGATGATGGTGATGATGGTGATGATGATGGTGGTAGCAGGAATCATCATCATCACTTACAGCTCTCAATTACCAGAGAGCAGATTTGTTTGTCCATTGGAAAGTACGTGAGGTCCATCATGCACGAAACCACGACGGTCAGTCTGTCACGTGATGATGATGGTGATGATGATGATGGTGGAGGGGTCAGTAGGTTAGGTCAAAATCATGATGATGATGATGATGATGATGATGATGATGACTGCAAATCATTATTATGTGATAATGATGATGATTGTTGCGGTGATTGTGACAAAATGACGAAATTAACTATGTTATATTTAACCAACATAATTTTTACATATGTGGCTTGTGACGATGAGATGATGATGAAAAAGAAGAAGATGATGATGATTGTGATGCTGACGATGGTGTGATGATGATTGAAGTAAAGTTAATCATGAACATGCTAAAGACGATGACGATGTTAACGATAATGAATGAAGTAAGGTAATATCAATGATAATTATCAAATTGTTCATCTTCATCAACTTCGTCATCATCGTCGTATCTTCATTGTCATCGTACTCACCTGATACTCAGTGTTACAGTTCCATTCTCACTTAACTTGAGGAACATGTTTCTGGCTGTAGCCTCGTGAAATTTGGCATTTTTGGCGTTGGCGAAAAAGGTGTCCGGCCACCAAAGTTTGTCGAGCATGACGTTGCTAATGTACAACTCGTCTGTATTTTGGTGACATCATCAGTGACGTCATTTTCGTCGTTGTCATTGCTCACGTGGTGCATCATCATTACCAACAAAAACGCCATCAACATCCAAATCTTCTGATCACCATAGCTTATATATATTCATCATCGTTGTCATCATCGTAATATTATTATAATCATTGGTGACGTCATTGTTTACATCATCTTCTGCTTTCTCACAGGCACCGGTATCTTCAGTATCAGTATCTATATCGCTATATCCATCGTCGTCACATTTTTCATTATTATCATCACCCTACTCATCGCCATCATCACCCTTTAAACTGTTATCCCCATTGTCGTCGTCGTCACATAGTTCCCTACCGTCCCTAATTGGGCGGGACAGTCCCGAATTTTTCCATTAATGTCCCACGTCTCTCTTCTTCAGTGTCCACGGGACGCTTATTTGTCCCACTTTTTGCTCAACCAAGAACCACATATATATATATATATATATATATATATATATATATATATATTGGCATATAATGATGAAATTTGAAGCACACGAAAACATACAAAGCGATGGTTTCTTTGAAGTTTCTAACTCAATTACATCAATAAAACCATACTTTTAACATTCAATGCCATTCTAGTGATGGCTGTGATTCTAACAAACCGTCAAAGGAAACTTTACTATGCCGACATTTCAACTAGTTCAATTTCGATGATGATTATGATTTCAACAAGACATCAAAGAAAAATACCGACAGATTATTTATTTAACTATATTGCGATATCGATGATGATTATGATTGTACCAAAATCAATTTATATATAAATATATAGGGCATTATATATATATGCACTATATATGATATATATAAATATGATATATATATATATATATATGATATATATAATGATATATATAATGATATAAATATATGATATAGATAAATATACAGTGTGTCCCGCTTTTGAAAATTCGAATGCTGGCAAGTATGGTCGTCATCGTCATCCTCTTTGATGAATGATGACAGCTTCCTATTTAAAAATACTTATATGTGCAATACATTACATACCTATGCTCTATTGCAGGCGTATCTGCAAAACTTTTTTATTGCTAGGGGAGCTGTCTTCATGAATGTTATACCAGTTTTACCGCCGCCACTACTACTACTACCATCACTACTACTAAAACTAATACTACTACTTTTATTACTACGCAAAACTCCATATCTTATTAGTATTCTCATTTTTATTTTCATCCTATTACTAACGTGATGTGATGTTGAACGTTGAACTGTCGAATTTAAGCCTGTCGTCAGTCCAGTGTTGTACGAAAAAAAATTCAATGGTAAAGTCCTGAATAGAATAATTTAGTATATTATTTCAGAATTATTTTGTTAGTTAATTAATTGTTTAGTTGATTGATTAATTAATTAACTAGTTAATGAGCTTGTTAATGAACTATATATCTATCCATCGATTTTTAATTTACGAGTGTGTATAACGTACAGCCATACATCTATTATTACATCCATTTATTTAATTATCCATTTACAAACTGATTTATTATTTCATCCATTCATTTATCAATTTATTCATTCATTCATTTATTTAACCATCCATCCATCTATACATCCTTCCATCTATCTATCCATCCTTCCGTCTCACTCTATCCATCTATCCATTAATTATTGACCATGTTGGCTTCAGATATAGATGAGAATTTAATGATGTGCAATGTTACTCCCACAATAACGGGCTGTCCTGTGTGTGTATGAGAGAGAAAGAAAGAGAGAGAGAGAGAGAGAGAGAGAAAGAGAGTTTGTGTGTGTGTGTATGTGTGTGTGTGTGTGTGTGTGTGTGTGCGTGATATCCTGTTATATCCAGATTTATATTAGTTAAAATAATGAAAAACGTTCATTTAAAAATGAAAAATAATTGGAAGAGTATTGGAAAGCATTTTTGAATCCGAACACAAACCTTTGTAATTAGGTCGAAGACGTTTATCGTAGCCAATAAAAAGAGAGTCAAGTAGGTCAGTGACGTCATTTGGGTCAGGCAGTTGTTGTGGTTGCTGTTCTTGTGGTAGTAGTGGTGTTGTGAAAATGGTTTGTTGTTGTTGTGGTTGTACTGATTGCTGCGTTTGGTTTTCAAAATCGGTTAAGCTGTAAGTGATTATGGAAAAAAAAGTAAAAGGTCTATTACACTCTCTTGTGGTTCAGAGGAATCAACAACAACACACAAACATACGTGGGCAAATACATGCTAAAAGAAGCATCATAGGCGATGATATAGCGATAGCCCGGCAACTTTTTTCATGTTCGAATTTGACTCGGTCATGGCACGCTCCAAGTAACATCGCTTACATTTAGTGAAGAATCAGATAGTAAATGGAATGGAATTGTAGGATTAAATAAAAGTAAAGTGAAAATCCGATTTTGACCGAACGCAAACCAGATCAAAAATCTGATTGGTCTGTTTGCCTATATTTGTCCAAGTATCACCTCTCTCTATGTTTTCCTGATATAACTAAGATGGTCGCTGTTGCTGTTGAAAGTTTTTTAAACCAAAATTTAAAAATCTCATATCTGGGCTTACAAATGAGTCGTTCAGCTGATCTATCTGACATTTCAGTGAAGTAAAAAATTATTATTTTTTATCATGCTTGGATTAGAAGCAAACAAAATAAACTTTAGAATTAAATTAAATTAAGACTTTTTATCCCGAATAAATTAAATTCAATTTGCTTATACTTTGTTTAAGACTGGTCTATGTTAATATATTCTACATTAATTTTTTCTATCTTTCAAATTTAAATGCTGCAAAGCGACAGATACGCCTCTTGCTTGTCTGTGCTCGGAAATCAAATAGAACCGGGCATATGTGCGTGTGTTTGTGTGTGTGTGCGTGCGCGTGTGTGTGTGTTTGTGCGTGCGTGTGTGTGTGTGTGTGTGTGCGTGTGTGGTGCTTGTAACTGTTTTAACATTGTTAAATATAAGTTTAATCTCAATGACAAAAAACCGACGCAATACATGCAATGTAACATGATTGAAGTTAATGTCATGTAGTTAGACATGTCTAGACTAACGACTAGATTATGCTAATAACAGCAACAGTCAAAACTACAGCAACTGCTCTGAAAAAATTATTTCTCAGTTTATAAAAAATAATTGTTACTTAATTAATTAATTTGTAAATTAATTAAATCAAATCACAAATTGTCCGTTCGTCTGTACAACCTAACCACTAACCATCATCTTCGTCGTCGTCATCATCATCGTCATTATCATCATCGTCAACAACATCATTTTCACATAAGAAACATCATCATCGTCTTTATTATTATTATTATAGCAAACATCAACATCAAAAACAATATTATTACCATCATTATCATCATCATCAACAACATCATCATCATCGTCATCTTTGACGTCATCAGCATCGTCATCGTTGACGTCATCGTAGACGTCATCATAATAACTATTGATTAGTTAATTAATTTAATTAATTAATGACAAGATTGACTAATTGATATGACGTTTATAGGCATTAAAAAATTGCAAAGGTATGCATGCATGTAAGGGAACGTGACCAGACAAAAATTAATAAATAAAAGTTTAGAATTAAAAAAAACGAAGGTATGCATGTACCAGAATACCTCCTAACTACTAATAAATAAAAAATGTTATTAGTACCTGGATATTATTATAATTTTTTAAAATAATTTTTGTACATACAATTTCACAACTGCATAATCGCACGTTCGTATGTAATGTAAAAATTAATTGTGCTCGGTCAGCGCCGGGGTGGGCATAGGGACTGGTTTGAGGAACGAGATACGGAGGCTCGTAGATTGCTGGATGTTGTGCACAAAACCCATCTTGCTTGGATAAATGACAAAAGCAATGATGCAATGATGGTAGCCTACACAAATGTACAACGTATCTTGCAGAGGGGTTGCGCAGAATGAATGAGTCCTGATGGACGGCGAGGGCTGATGAACTACAGGTGGCTGCTAGCCGTTGCGATTTAAAACTGTTTTATAAAGGTCTTAAGATGGTATATGGTTCACGTGACTCTGGCAGTATATCAGTACATTCACGGGATTGTACGTCGCCAATAAAGAGTGGCCTTGGCTTTTTGGCCCTTTGGGCAGAACATTTCTGCAGGGTGCTAAATTAAAAAATCTTCTTTGATGACGCGGTCCTGTTTGAGCTGCCGTATTTAGAACCCAATTATGATCTTGAAGTTCCCCTTAGTTTGCAGGAGCTGGATAAAGCAATATTTCGGTTGTCATCTGGAAAAGCACCCGGTTTGGATAGTTTGCCGGCAGAGTTGTTTAAACACCGTGGTCTACATCCCAGGAAGAAGCTGGTGAAGCTCTTTGATCGCATGTGGGTGGAGCTGTCGGTTATTCAAAAATTCAAAGGTGCTCTGATCGTTTATATATTTAAAAAAAGGCGATCGATCGAACTGGGACACTTGTGAAATTTACCAAAACAAAAGAATTTAAAAAAATTTTTGATTAAAATTGTAAAGCAAAATTTTTAAATCACCTTGCAAATGTTTGCAGAACGAAAAATAACAACATGAGCCATAAATAAGCAGGCTGCTGCAGTCGATACATTAGCGCTTGTTGTGGACTTTGTGGCAAACACATCGGCGATTATAAAAGTAGTGTCAACAACAGATTTTGTTAAATTGTTTGTACGGGTTTTTTGAAAAAGTAAGATATGCTTTTATAGAATGCAACTATTGTTTGTATCATGATACTTGTGCAAATATGAAAACACTAGACAGAAAATAGATACAATATCATTTATGTCATCGTATGAATAATAATAGGTATTATTAGCTAAAACATTGTCCAGGTTTACTGTAATTTGTTGTTAGCTGCTGTTGTTGGATACAAGAGTTGGATAGTGGAGTTAGATATTATGGTTAGATACCGTGGTTGGGTCTAGTGGTTAGATATATTAGATGAATACTGTGGATATTGGTGTTAAAATTGATGTGTCAGATGCGTTCACTTAGGTTGGGGTAAAATTTTTACAGTTGTTTATCAATCGCTGGTAATCCGATTGCTGCTGTTGTCGTTGTATCAAAATTTGTTGTTTCAGTTGATGTCATTTTTGATATTATTATTGTAATAAGAACTGTTTTTATGTTGTTGCTGGTTTTGTTTAAAAGTAAAGACTATTGATATGTAGCTGTGACAGCTTTTTGTTGATGTTGATGATTAATATTTATTTAACCTATTACAGATAGTTTTTGCAATGTTGTAACTTCAATAATCAACAACAAAAAAATAAAATTATTTTTCAAGTTTTAAATCAAATTAAGTTCAAACCAAATTAATCTAAACTAAATTTAAAACTAATGTTTTAACATTCTCCAAAAATTAGACTTTATTATTATTTTAATTTTAAACGCGGTTCTAATTGATTTATTTTTATTTATCTTTATTAAAATTATTTTTTCCTAAAATCAATTTGCCTGCTCTATGTTTCATCGACTGTCCACAAAAAGGCGCGCGTAGAGAATGTTACGTAGGTTTATATGGAAAGAGCGGATGAATGCTTAAGACCCACACACATGTCTGTTCACATCTTTCAACCAACCGCTCTAGTTTATAATTTGTAACAATAGTGTTATCATTAAAAGTTGTTGATTTTAATTTTGTAGGAAGTTGAAAAAGGTAATAAAAAAATTGTTTTGAAATCATTTTATTATATTGACAATGAACACTTCATGTTAAATCAAGTATTCGATTTGATTATAAAATCTTTCCTGATTTAAATAAATAGTTGTTTAAATTTCAATACATATTTGAAGACGGCTGACGACGGGGTGATATTGTTTGAAAATGCATTACCTCAAAAAATGCTTTTAAAAGAAAATTGAATACAAAAATATTATATCGGTAATAAATAAGAACATAATTTAAAGATATATGTATGTACATATATATATATATATATATATATATATATATATATATATATATATATATATATATATATATATAATATGTATGTATATATAAATATATATATAGAGAGAGAGAAAGAGAGAGAGAGGTTTGATGAATGCAGGAAAGAAACGCCAAAAAGGAGCTTTAAAATCAGATATATGACCTTTGCATAATTACGGTCAAACAAAAAACTTGACTTGATTTAATTTCATAGAAAAAACAACAATCAAAAAAGTTGTTCCAAAGAAACAAAATCATTTGATGACGTCAGACGTGCCTGACTGATGACGTCACCTAGCCAACGATACTTCGTCCAGGTCTCGTTGATCTCTCGTTGGATGCCTTGTACTGAATGGGAGACTTCCAACAGTTCAGCCAGTTGGTCATCACGTGATTCGCTTTCCTCGGATGCTTCCAAAAGTATCTTACGACGTCTGCACACTTCTGTCACCAGATCCAAGATGACCGACAACTGGCAATACTTCCGGTAGATTTGTGGCTGGTAGGTGTTGAGGTGGAGCATTTCAAAAGTTCTGAGTGGGAGGTACGTGTAAGATGGCGGAGGGGTGGGGAGATGGCCCTGCAGAGGTGAGCACACGAGAGAAGCTGGTGGTGCGAGTAAGGTCATGTTCACGTGATGTTTTAAGGGGAAGGTCAACTTGTGAAGACGATGAGCAGCTGGAGTGGTAGATTCAACAACTTCTTCTTCAACAGCTGCAGTTGAAGTAGCAGTTTCAGTAGCGATGGTATCAATGAGCTGATGGCATTTGGTGTGCAATATATTTTTGAAGTTGTTGTCTCTCATTGAAGCACCTACTCCACCATCAAACACGTTGGTGTACTTCACCACCATCTTGACATCTTCATCGGAATCGTCACCATCATCACCGTTGACCTTGATGCAAGGGAGGCTTGAGAGATGTTGTTTGGAGACGAGGATATCCAATCCCTGTACACGACATGCCAGCTTCAAGTAGCCGATGTACATGCCCTGCTCCAGCTGCTGCTGCTCACTCGTTCCCAAACTTGACCCGAGAATATCAGAACTTCTCAGCGTAACAAATTTTAGT